AAAAAAAAAAGTAAAATAGGACAGGCAGTTTGTAACAAAGTTAATGCAATACATATAATTGTAGTATATTATGTTAAATAACTGCCTTCATATTACCTTCTACTTTTAAGCCTCTGACAAAATAGTGGTGCTTATTTCCAAGATTATTTTCAAATGAACAAATTAAAGGGGTCTTTCAGGACAAAAAAGATTTATTTTAGGGATGGGGGATTGGGGGAGTAAGAGGTTTTACCCTAGCCCGTCTCTCTCTTGGTTTCCCTAATACTTTGAGAGAAGAATGCATGAGAGTTGTGTTCTCCACCAGAACAGAACACCAACTGACCGATCACTGAAGTGATATTAAGTAGATGATGCCGCTGAACACATCTTGTTGGTGTTGGGATGTAAACTTCGTTTTCATTTATGACATGGCCAGGCTATGTAGCAAACACATAAAATTCATGAACAGTTTCCACTGCATCTCTACTGAGCTGGTTCACAACAAAGAGTCTCAATTCCACGCGTCCTCGTCCTCCCCAGGGTCTCTCTCCACAGGTACAGTATTGCCACACTCCTAAACCGAGAAGACGACGTTGTTACCCCAAAGACAGCAGGACACATTACAAAGTGAAGGGCAGTCTGAGAACAAGCCTGCCATAGGCGGTTCATGCCCGGATAGTGTGACTGTTACTCTGTATTCACTTACACCCTGGGTAAAATGTGTGTCCTGGAGCTGCCCTCCCCCCACACCGGAACTCTTGCAAACTATGTGCAGACCTGCTGCTGAGAAGGACAGTGACCCTGGCAGGTGGAAGACAAAGGAGAGGGTCTGTGCTGTGGCCCCAGGAAGGTTTCAGGCCCCACCACAGGGAGCAGAAGCCAGAAGTCTCCCTGAATTGAGGGGGCAATCTCTGCTCCACAGATACATACACCCTGTAACTCCTGGCACACCCAGGAAGCTCCCGGTAAAGAGTGCTGACATTTATAAATGTTTAATAATCAACGTCAGCGGTCATGACTGATGCTGGTTGTCTGCAGTCAAATCAATGCATAAACGTTATAAAAGCACACACAAACATACATATCTATACACAGACAGACCTGTATCGATGCCAGGATCTCCGCAATGGCAGAGCGGGATAGGGCCCCCCATGCTCTTCCGAGCTCCCCGGAGGGTTTTAACATGCAGCCACAACTGAGAGGAACTGGACACAGGTTCTCATCTGGGGCCCATGGAACCCCTGACAGACTACTGCACATTCACAGACATGCATGGGAAAACATTGGACCTTTATTTTCACTCACCCCCCACTGAAACTTAGCATTTCCCCAGCCATGCGTGCAGCCAACTGCAGCAGCACTCACAGAGAAGCCTGCTACTGACATCGCAGGTGTCGCTCAGAGCCGCCACCACTGACAGGGCGGTGGTCCTTCACCTGCCCCAGCCTCGGCTTCAGCGCCTCATGCAAGAGTATGTGCGTGGTACTGTGCCAGTTTTAAAATAGTTGCGAATTTTAGTTTAATATAATCGGAATCCTTTGCAACCTTATGAATTTGATTTTTTGCATTCAAAAGCATTTTTCAGACAAAGGCTCATAGGCTTCCCCAGGTGCTCCAGGTGTCCGCGGCCCATGGGAGAGAACTGCGTGCAGAGGCCACTGGGCAGGACAGCGCTGTCTGAGGCCCTGATGAGACACAACCTCACGTGAGCAGGGCTGACCTCTCGGTAATGAGCTGAGGAAGCGGATCAGCAAACATGAGGAGCACCGTCACAGAGATACATTTCCATATCCATTGTCCCTCCTTTATTAGTTTCTCTAACGAAGCCACCACGCACTATCTTCACAGCTGATGCCCGGCCGGTCCCCAGTCCCATGCCCAGCCCGCAGTAGCTGCTACGCAGGATAGGACTTGTCAGTCTCTGCTGGCTAATTCCGGGCATTTGGGCAACATGGAGCATGTATTGTCCTTCAGGAGGTAACATTTTCTTTCCAAGCCTAAAGTGCATGATTTCTAAGGCTTCTGCAGTGAGAATAAAAGGATCCACTTAAAGCTGATTTTGTAAGCCCTAATTATACAGTACATTTCATAATAAGCATTGCAAAACTGCAGCCTGGGAACAAAAACTCTCTTAGTTAGTAATAAATTGTCACTGCAGTGATCAATGTGCCAAACTTAATTCACAGATAAATAAAAAGCAACCTTGAAAGCTGAGCAGAAGTCTGTACCAGTGTCGGCTTTGGTACAACTCTGGAAGTTGAGGAACAAGCCCTTCGATGTATTTCAGGGAGCTCGATGCCTCTGTACCCGAGGCGTCCCAGCTGTGCCCTGGCACCTCTCTCTGCAGACAGAGGCACTGGCCACCGACAGCAGCCAGGCTCTGTGCCCCAGCGCAGTGTCTTCTGAAGAGGAGCCGTGCGAGGCTGCCGCACAGGGCGCGGGCACGAACCCTGTCGTGACAGGTGGCCGGCAGCGGAGACGGTCTGGAAAACTCCAGGGCGAGTGACAGTGAACATGAGAAGGGAGGGGTCGCCATCTCTCGTTCCCTCACTGGGGTTGTCATCAGTGATGCCAAAGTGGTGGGGGCAGTCTGCTCTCGGGGGGCTGGGTCCCGGTGGACACCCGTTCCTGCCAGGGGTTCAGATGGGAATGCCGCTGTAACTGTACTTAAAATGTCACCCTTTATGCAGAGTAATACTGTTAAAAATTAGTTCTGCGAACACATGAAGAGAATAATGAGTGTAATCTAAGCGGTGAAAGAATTGGAAACAAGAAAAGCTTTGTTTTTCTGAAGAAAAAGCACCGTAGGAGAAGACTGTTTCTAGGGAGATGGGAAAGAACATGCAAATGTCTCTCCTTCCAACCCGACCGCAGACACACCCAGCGAGGGCCGTCTTGGCCCCGTCTCGGCCCCGTCTCGGCCCCGTCTCGGCCCCGTCTCGGCCCCGTCTCGGCCCCGTCTCGGCCCCGTCTCGGCCCCGTCTCCCCCGTCTGGGCCCCGTCTCGGCCCTGTCTGCCCCGCACTTCTCGGGCCTGGACTCCTGCCTGCTGGGAGGGGCGCCCTGGCCCGCTCCAGACAAGCCTCCCCAAGAGCTGTTTTCAGGAATACGGATTTTTTCTCTCCAGATACACTGGTTCATCTACACACTCCCGAAGCAATATTTGCAAAATTGTATTTTGTACCATTATGTTACATTAAAAGTGAGAGGGAACTAGCAAGGGCCAGAAACACCGCTGTGGTGTGGGCGGATGCTGGAGAGGACAGCTCTCGGACGGGGGCGCTGGCGCACGCTGGCCCGACGCACGCTGACGCACGCTGACGCACGCTGACGCACGCTGACGCACGCTGACGCACGCTGACGCACGCTGACGCACGCTGACGCACGCTGCCACTGCGCAGCTGCGGGCCTCGCGCGCGCCCTCTGCGCACCTGGTTTCCTCATCTGTGAGACGGGGACGTGACCCTGCCTGTCTTATAAGGTTGTCAAAAGATCAAATGAGTGTTAAAATGTATAAAGCTTTTATGACCATACCTATTACACAGTGAATACTATATAAATGTTCACATTATCATTATCACTATTATTTTATTGCATGTTCAGGACCTAGCATTGCACTTAACACTGTAGACTGAGCTTAAAAACACATTCTTTTCATGCCTTTTTGTCCTTGTCATTCTGAGTACAGCTTTCCAAAAGATGTGTGTTCTCTAAAATTCAAATATCTCAACAGGGTGGTTCTTAGACTTGATTGTATAATGGAAAACAACAACAACACAGAGAATTGCAAGATCAAGCCCAGAAAATGAAAAGCACCTAATAAGCAGAAACTATAGATTTCAGATGGCTCTAGGTCTCTTCACATCTGAAAGGCTGAACCGGAGAAGATAAATTATGTTCTATATTATTATATTTTGTTTCGAGGTAAGAGAACTCCAAAACATCTGGAGCTTCGTAAAAGAAAACAACAGTTGCTAGCTGAGGCAACAGTGTGATGTCTATAGGCCCTTGTAAGATTTTTTTGATCAGTTTTTGGGCAAACATCCACAAATTTCATTATATACATACATACATATACATATGTGTATACATATACATATATATTATATTATAATATATCATTAGAATACTTGAAGTGTTCTTATTCATCTCTGATGAATCAATGTAAAAAAATATTTTCTACAAAATATACACACACATTGATCTAAACTTCAATTCACCACCAGCTCATTCAGAAAGAAGGAAGGGAGGGTGAAGGAGGGGAAGAGGGAGATATAGAGAGAGATGTATGTGTACATTTGTGTCCATGTAGTGGGAGAGGTGGGAGGAGGGGGAGGGAGAGAGAGAGAAGGAGAGAAAGAGAGGATGAATGAATGAATGACATTAATGACAGCTCAAACCAATTATTGAAGAGAAAATACTGTCTATAGGTTCAAAAACCTACAAGCAACATAGAAAAGCCCACAAGGACATGAAATATTATACATAAGCTGGATTTTACGGTAATATTTGTCACGGTACTTTAGAAGAAAAAAGGGTTTTATAAAAGACCATTGGCTCATTTAGTATGAAGGGTGTTAAAATTATTTGGCAAATTATTTCTCACTGAAAACAAAGAAATAAACTATATGAGCAGCTACTCTGCTTCTGCCTTGGGTTTCTATTTAAAATGATTTATAGTCTGCAATTTCTTGGTAAGGTCATCACCTTCATAAATACTAGCCACGTATAGTAAAAAGTGACTCAATAAAGTGAGCAGTTCATTTCTCTCCCCTGTTTATGTAGATACGTCTTCCATCTGCATGGCCCCCATTTATAACAAAGCCTTCCCGTGTGCGAATTTTTATGAGTTCTTCGGCTTTTCTTTCTTTTTTATCTTTCTATGCATCAGCAAAGCCACTGGCAGATTCTTTAATAAAATATATTATACACATTAATATTTATAAGCCTATGAATTGATGTTTAAATAAACATTCACCAACTTATGCCAATTCTTTTGTTTTAGACGTTGGATCCACTCACATTGTCTGGGAAGTCAGCCTTGAGCTCAGTGATACTTTGACACCAGTATGCCGCTGTTTTCTCGCTGATGAGCTCGATGTTCAGGAAGGAGCTTTGTCCAGGGCCGTACATGGGGCCAGAGGTGGTTCCCCGGATGATTCTGGGTGAGACATTTGTCACGATGTCCTGATAAAAGAATGAAGATACTGAGTCTCCATTTGACAAAGAAAACCTATGATCTTTATGCTCATTTCCACATGACAATGTTACCAAGTCCCTCTTCACGTTATTACAGAAGAATTTTAAAGTGCATTTTAAATTGCAGTGAAGCATTAAATAGTTCCAAATGAAAGAGTAAAGTATTTGTTAGCTTTATTTAAATGACATTCTGTGATTATAAGGTTAGCATAGTGAAAAAAATAAGTGTGTAAATTCATGTATGCTGGTTTTGGGCATATACATTTTAATTTGTTTACAATTAATTAATAAATAAAAACATGCCCAGTAAAATGTAAGACTATCATTTCAGTCTATTTCATGTATTTCCAATGAAATTTTAATTTTAATTAATAAGAGTAATTATAAAGAAAAATTTTTTTTTTCTAAAAGTTAATTGTAAGGTATATCAGCCAAAAAGTACCTATTAGTACTACTGGCTCATCAAACTTTAACAAGTGTTTTAACCAACCAACCGGGGCACCCTACTCATAGGATTCTAGCTACGAGCTCACTCTGAGAATTCCCTGTCCCAGGAATGACGCGAGGATATGGATACCTTCCTGGCAACTATAAACAGTAAACTGTCAAACCAACCGGCTTGTTAAGTATAATTAACAACCCACAACAGCTTCCCTAGCTTCTACTAACAAAAAAGAGTAACATTCTTACATTACTAAAAACTAAAAAGAAACAAAGAAGAAAACTGTTACTTCAGCCAACTTCCAATTAAAATTAGTTTTGAGTAAAGGTCATTTAGTTAAGGATTTATCAGAATTAGTCATTTAAGTACCCCTCCTCACCATCTTGTCACTTTTAGTGAGATAACATGAACCCCCATTAGTATATAGCAATTAAGGTCAATTTACATATTTTAATTAAGAACCACCCCATATAAAACAATTAGCGTAATAGGCATACTAACTGGATTTCATAACATTTGGACGTTTTTCCAACTAGATAGACAGGAAACCTTAATTAGCATTAATTAGTACTGATCTGCACACGTTTGATAAGGCATACCCTTGCCACAAAAGATTATTTATTCCCGAATCTGCCAAACGCTGTGGTTGCCGAGGATAAAAGGACTTTTCTTCACATTGCATGTTAATTTCTGGTGATTTACATTCACTTTTACATTCGAATTAGTATATTATGAAATAAATGGTATAAATGTTACAATAAGCCTCCTTAAATATGTACATTTTTAGTTATAGGAATCCTGCCAGTTAATGTTTTACTAATTAAGCCATTTCACGTCTATTGTAATTGTGGGCAACATCACCAGCCTCACTTTGATTTGCTATTATGAAAACTTGTTACAGGATCTTAATGGGGAAAATGACGAGAAGCCTCACTCCAGGAAGCTGAAGCCTGGTGGGGCCGACTCTGTTGTGGCAAAGGCTTCAACAGGAGCTCGGCGCCCCTGTGCTGGGAGGCTGTCAGCCTGAGGTTCTCCTGTGCTGCCACAGTCTGAGACCTGTCCAGAAATGGTCACATCCCAATGAAGCAGGTTTTCTTTCGTGTCTGTGTTCAAAGGCCACACTTTCAAGCCACAAGGTGCTCCTTTCCTGCTCTGGCCCCTACTGCAGAGGCTCGTCGCCACAACAGATACTGTGTCTGCACAGGAGACCTTCCTGATGGCTGGCCCTCAACTGCTGGGCTCATCTGATCTCGCGGATCCGAACAAAATGCCCCCATTCAGATACAAACCAACTTTTCGTCTTTTGTAGTTAGTTCAGGGGCTGTGAATTCCTATCTTGGCCCATGGCCACCTGGGAGACTTCTTAGAGTTTGCCTCTCAGGCCATTAAGCAACCCCAGCTGCCCCTTGTGTCTGTGCCCGAGGCTGAGTCCACATCTTCACAGTGTGTGTAGGAAAAGTGTTAGTCGTCATAACGTAGAAAAGACACAGAACAGAGTAACTGCACGCAGACGAAGACAGAACTGGATGGGCCAAGGATTCTATGCCGTGTGCTGCCTTGCAGTCATCCTAATAACAGTCAGGCCACAGTAGCCAGAGGGTCAATAAGCTAACACTTTCACTGGAGGACAGTCAAGAAAATGCTTCTTTCTTAAAACGCACCCCCTCACTGCCGTGATACCTCACAATTGAACATTCTACCAGCAGAGAGTCCTCCTCTGTGTACTGTGAGCCAAGCTCATCGTTAGCGCTGGGGCTGTTTTACTGCTCTGTAATCTGGTGTGTGCCGTAGATGCATCATGGGAGGATGATCGATGAGCCCCTTGAGCAGGATGGGGACCGAAGGGAAGGTGTGTCTACTCTGACAGTGGGCGTTTGCTCCTCTACGCCGATTCTCATAGGTCGTGCTTCCCTAAACAGATCGGTTTTCTCTTTTTTCAATCTCAAGTAAAGAAAGAAAGATCCTTAATAACTGCCCAAATTACAGATGCTCACAGTGTAGAACTTATCAACTACTCATGAGTCAGCTGTTACTGTCATGGCAGTTTAAAAACTCAGCATATTTCAAATTCAACAGCAGAGCCTGGATGCATGATTGGCCAGCGATCAACCAGTCAGAGGTGTTTCAGTCTAGGTTCCTTTCCCAGATTCAGGTATATTTGCTACTACTTAGTCAAAGACCCTCCCCACTGACTGAGACCTTTTAGAATTTGTAAATTAAGCGAAAGATGAACAGAAACTTGGATACAACCAATTATCCTTGGTTATATGATTAGAGTTTGAGCTCCCATAATTGGGCAATAACTTACTAAAGCTTTTGACCTGGGAATACTAGAATTTGGATATAATTTTATAAGATAATAATTTGCTTTAATATTTAATAGCTAGGTCATATTAGCATTGCTTAAGGGAGTTAATATAAAAACAAACATATTGAAGAATAGTTAGACTAGATACGAGTTCATTTTCTACAACAAAGAAGATAAATTACCATCTAATCTTCAGTGCATGAACGATATTCGGATTTTTAAAAACTGATATTTATAGGTAAGGAAGCGTGAGGTGCTTTCTCTGTGTTGTGTGACAATTGTCACTACCATTTAAAATTGACTGCCAGTGACCTCTTAAGGTGTGAAGTAACGGCCGTGATTTTTCAGCATTAGTAAGGAGACTTACTAATGGTAAACAGACTGATTATATTTGTTTAAGTTCATTTACTTGACCTCTCTTATCCTAAAAAAACCCACACAACTATAGTGTTTCCATGGTTACTACAGATTAAGATAGTCATAGTGGTTTCAATAAATAGAAAAAGGACACTTTGTAGAGCTGTCTTGCTAGGAGAATACGAAAATAAATGGGGTACAAAAAAGTGGGATGCAAATAAAACCCAAAATTTGCAGAGTGAACCACAGTTACTAGACCAGAACAGATGAATTTTTGAGATACGTTATTGACTAAAAGAGCAACCCGTGGAAACGTATACAGACTATGACACGTAGAACCAGCAAAGCCGCACAACACGGGATCCACTGCGACGTGCTCATGTGAGGAAGTACGGCTGAGAGAACAGTTCAACAGGATTTAGGCGAGGGGTTACCTACTGGAATAGGAAGACGCTGGGAGAGAAGCTGGGGTGGCTTTCTAAAAGTATTAGTGACGTATAATTGTGAAGACTGTTCCTGAAAGGCAGACACACCCAACAGATGAGAAACCGTTCCCTGAGATGTGCAATGGTGAACACTGCTAGAAGCTATCAAGACAGTTCAGTGGGCTTACCTGAAAACCTGTAAGTCAAATCTTAGGGATACTTGTTTCTTTTTTAATTTGATTCTTCTGTGAACTGGTTGTGTTTTTTGTTTGTTTGTTTGTTTTACAAACAAATCTTTTAACTATTTAGCTTTACAAGCTAGAGTTTCAGAAAAGAAATGTACTGCAGAATAAATTGTCTTCTAAAATGTATCACTTCCACAGAAGTGGAGTTTAACTATACATTATTCCCTAGGAGAGGAGGATCACACTGCAAATGGATCCACCACCACCCCGTTGATGGACCTGTTCCCATCACTACCAACCTGGCCGTCACCCTGGGAACAGCAAACAGTAGATAGAATAAAGTCTAACAGTGGTCCAGTTTCTAGTGAGATTCCACTGTTCTATCTGAACTCTCCAACATTTTATTTTACTCATAAACTAAGTATATTTATATTTGATTATTCTAAAAAATAAACGTTATAATGGTCAGAGTAATCTCTTTGGTTGTTTTGGAGGGTGACATGGGTAGGATGAGAAGTTTTTCTTAATACATCAATTTTTTCCATCCTCGTGTCTCATATAAGGACAGCACTCCAAAACCTGGGGTAGTGACACAGGTCCCATTTGTCATCAGGAGCTCTAACCCTGTCTATCTACATGGGAAACACCGTACATGAGAACAATGTTATCCCAGAAAGACAAGACGAGACGTCAGTGAAACCGTGGCTTTGAAATGGCAGAAACAACAACAACTTAGGTCTTCACAGCATGAGGCTTCCCGAGTCCCATCTAACTGGATTTCACACTAGACCAGGGCTTCAGGGAGCCAGGGATCAGCTGCCCCCTGCTGCCCAGCTCTCGTCGGCATGGAGATAAGACGAGAATTCGGGGCTATTTGTTAGCTATGAATGATGATAATAATAATAATAATAGTAATGGCATCACTTAACATTTGACGTATGCGATAATAATTAGGACTCATTTTAGTTGCAAGGAAAATCAACAAGTTAAATTCTGAAAAGAGGGTGTGAGATATTTAAGGAAAAATAGTATTTCACAGACTGCAAGGGAGGAAGCACCGTGAGGGATGTTTCTCTGCCTCTTCTCCCTGCTTCTTGTGCTTCTGTTTCATTCTTCTGTCTTTCCAAAGAGGGATTCCTTCATCTCAGTTCATGTAAAGGAACACAGACACCTGGCAGGTCCCGAGACACATGTCACAGGTAATCGTGTAATCTCCAGACCCCAGGTTAACCCTGTGCAGAGACTGACAGCTGAACTTGGTTGGAGGTTCA